CGCGCGCAGCAGGCCGCGGGCCTCGGGTACCATATGATGACATTCATCATTGGGAATTTGTACCTGTACATGATATAGCTTGGTTCCTTGCTGCTTTTTAATTATTTGTTTATTTATTTTGTTGTCGGTGATCAAACTCGAGTCCTTGCCCTTTTGAGGCAGGCGGAGGAACCACTGAGCTAAATCCCCAGCCCTGCATGCATTTTTAAATGAAAGGAAATCACAAGGAAAGAAGAAACAGCATCTGTGGTATCTCTACTTTATCACAGAAAAATGCTTTTGTGTTCCTTTCCAAAGCCTGTTTATATGGATATATCGTTTTAATATATTCACAGTACTATATAAGGCGTGATTGAAAATGGTTAAACATTTTTATTGTAGTAAAGACACATCACCGTAAGTCCTACAAAATATTTCTCCTCGCTTCAAACACACTTGTCCCACCACTCTTGCCTCTTTCTGAAGCAGTTCTGGAAGCCTCTCTCATGAGAGTCTTCAGGTGTGCTGCTGTGGCTGCCTCAGTGTTCTGGGTTGATTAACAATGTTTGCTTTCATGGTCATTTTGACTTTAGGGAAGAATCAGAAGTTGTACCCTGAATAGGGTGAATGAAGACAAACTAATATTTTAGCTTATTAAAACTTTTTTAGCTGGGCATAGTGGTGCACACCTGTAATACCAGTACTTGGGAGGCTGAGGCAGGAGGATCATTGTGGGTTTAGGCTAGCCTGAACTACACAGCCAGATCCTGTCTCAAAAATAAAAAATAAATAAATAAATAAATAAAAGAATAGAAACTTTTTTTTATCAGTACATTTGTTTTGTATATAATGTTTACGTTCCTTGTGTGGAGTTGGTACATGCACATAACACATCTTAATTCCTTTTTCATCCCCTTGCTCTTCTCTCCTTGCCTCCTCCCTCCTCCACTCTCTGTCACTTTTTTTTGGGACCAGGTATCAAACTTGGGACCTTGTGCTTGTAAGGCAGGCGGTGGAACCACTGAGCTAAATCCCTGGCCCTCCACCTCTTGATCTCCCTTCCATTTGTGAAATATCTATCTCCCTATTTCCTACTTCTTTTATACTTATAAGTTGGGTGTCTTATGAGAGAAACCATGTAATATTTAAGTTTGTGTTGTCTCGTTTATTTTACTTAACATTATGGTCCAAAGATGCATCTATTTGTCCACATATGACTTGAGTTCATCTTTCTTTGTGGCAGAATATACTCCATTGTGTATAAATGGCACATTTTCTTTATCCATTTATCTGTTGATAAACAAGTAGGCTGCTTCTAAGATTTAGCTATTAAGAATTGTGCTACTATTGGGCCGGGGATTTGAAGGTCCCTAGTTCGATCCCAGTACGATACCAAAAAAACAGAATTGTGCTGCTATAAACACAAATGTACATGTATCACTATAATATGATGTCTTTAACTTTTTTGGGAAGCTACCTAGAAGGGGAATAACTGCATCAAATGGAATTTCTAATTTTAGTTTTTTGAGGAATCTCCACACTGATTTCCATAGTGGTTGTTCTAGTTTACATTCCCACTGTTAGGGAATTGATCATGTTAAAGTATGCTGTGACGCCACCTCACAGGCTGCATTCTCCTGGTACATCTTGGCTCCTAAAATGACCTCATGCTCTTATCTCTGGTTTCCCTCCCCCACAAGGCCACAGTGGTCCAGGAAAGTTGAAACCTGTGTCTGCAGGACTGGGCCCATAAAAGCAATCTGGCCTGTGATAGGTTAAAAGTAGCTCACTCCTCATAAATAAGCAATAGACTACCCCAAAACTGATAAAAGGACCTTCCTTTCTTTGTTCTTCTCTCTC